AGGCCTAAACAAAAGCAGCAGCCAGCTGAATGGGGGGCCCGCCTGTCTCAGGCGGGCCCCCCCATTCGAGGACGAGCTGTCTACGGGCTTCACGAACAGTGTCTGCCTGGGCGGCAGAGGTTTAAGGGCTGAAGGTTTAGGGTTTTAGGGTTTAGGGTTTATGATTAATTCGGGTTTCGTCTGAGCCGCTGGCATGCTGGTTGTGCCTGTCTGTGTCGGCGCTGAAGCGGTGGCTGTTGTCCTGGCGATGCAGGGCTTAATTAAGGGGTTAAGGTTTATGGTTTAGGGTTTGTCTGCCTGTCTGGACTCCAGCGCTGTCTCCGCTGCTACAAGAACTGCCTCTGCAGGTGCCTGCTGAGAAGCGGCTGCCTGAGAAGGCTGCCTTTCTGTTGCTGGGGCACACACCAGCTGGGTGAGCAGAGCTGTCTGCTTCAAGAGCTGCTGCAGAAGACTGTCCTGCAGCATGATTGATAAGTTACTTGATGAATGCCTTCCTCTCTCTCAACGGGCCCTTGTCTGTCTGCGACATGCCCTGCAGGGCTTCTGCCATTGCTGGTCCTGCAAAATGTTTGGATGGCTTCAGTAACTAAAACACACGAAAGACGGAACTGGCTCTCGAGCCTGTCAAGTCCGTCTTGTGAGTCTGTCCTGTTGCAGCACAACAAGATGTCGTGCAATGACTGGCTGGACTGCTTCTCCGATTCTCCTGTCTTGTCTGGGCGTGGCCAAAATGGCCTGCCGAGAAGCAAATATTTATTTAATCTATAATTACAACAAATGTCGCTCACTGACTGTCGAGCCTGAGGTCTGCCCAAACGAGGCAGCCTGGCTGTGCTCTGGTCTGTCTACAGCCGGAACGGCTGCGCAGGAATTGCTCGCTGTTGACTTGTCTGACTGTCTGACTGTAATTAAGCTTTAGGGTTGAGGGCTTCAGGGACTGTCTGACTGTCTGGCTGCCTCATTATTCCTGTCAGTCCGACTCATACCCGCCGGACCCGAAACCCCCCCTAATATAAAAACTAAACCTCCGAATTCCAGTTTTTATATTAGGGGGGGGGAGGCGTTTAATATTAGGGGGAAGGGATTAACTAAGGGTTATGATTAGGGTAACTATACTTATAACCGCAATTAAGGTACTTATAACCTTACTTACTAAGTCCCATGATCCTCTAAGTAGACGATGTTGCAGGGGTTCTTACAGACTCGCAGAGAACTCTTACAGGTTTAGGGACATCGAAGCTGCAGCGGGACACGTCGTCGGGGCTGGAACCTGAGAGCCTGACCCTAAGGGTCCAAGCAGTCCGTGTTTAGGGTTTAGGGTTTTATGGCTTTTGATATCTGAAAGGCACCAACGGTCCTATAGCACCGAGTACTTGGACCCTAAAGCCTTTTTGCTTGACAGGGCCAGGGTTAAGCAGTACTGGACTTCTGAACTAGGATGCAAGGGCGGACTAGGCGGTTCGAGAACAGCCTAGCACTTAATTGCATCGAGTGCATTGGGATAACCGTGTCGGCGGGGAAATCGGCATTTACTTGGACTTCTGCATGAACCTTGAACACGTCTATCAACTGGCAAGATCTTGTAAACGAAAGACAACTGAAAAGCAGAGCTCGCATCAATCTTCAGCTGTGTAGGTCTGGACTCCTATGCTGGGCATTGTACACGACAAGTAAAACCCACAATGCACAGGCACAGAATCGAAGGCTGAGACAAGGACACATAGCTCAGGCGTACTTCGCTGAAACCTCTAAACGACTCCGTTTTCACTCACTTCACTATGTTCTGGAGCAGCGTCTGGGTTAAACTTAACATTGACAGCCCTCCTTCTCCATGTACATGTATATGTACATATGTGTATGTGTGTACATAGATATACATAGACACACACACACATATATATATATATACATATATATATATATATATATCTATCAGATGCGTATACATGCTTTGTCCACATCTGCCTTCCTATCTATCTAGCTATCTATCGATCTAGCAATCATCTATCTGTCAATCTATCTGTTCATCTATCTGTCCATCTATCCCCCCAGAAATCGGTCGGATCCTACATACATACATACTTACATATTTACATGGTGCATAGGCTAGATGTTGAACCCTGTATCCCAAAGGAATGCAGAAGACCCCAACAACGGATCATGACATCTGCACGTCTGAGCTCTGGGCCGCGTCGAGTGCACGGCCCGATCGTTAAAATGATCGCCGTCCATTTTCCTGGGAAGCTCGGTCTTTAGGGTTTACCTATAGTCTCCATTGTAGTTCCTTTTTTGGCTTAACCAGATATATAATTAGGATCCTATAAGGTAACCCCAAAAAGGAACTACAATGGAGACTATAGGTAGGGTTTAGGTTTCCTGTTAATAGGAGCTTCAGATGGTTCTTTAGGGGTTTCGAAGGGTTTCACTTAGTAGTGCCTTGGAAAGCTCGGTCTTTCGGGCTTCGCAGGTAAAGGATCATGGGACTTAGTAACTAAGGTTAAAATTAGGGTAGCTATACTTATAACCCCAATTAAGGTGCTTGTTACCTTACTTACTAAGTCCTATGATCCTTCGAGTAGCGGTTTTAGATGGTTCAATAGGGATTTCGGATGGTTTCGCTTAGTAGGGCCTGGTAGTGGTGTTATTGGTTTGTTACGGGTTCTAGTGGAACTTCTTAGAGATAGCATGCCATTGCTGAATCGGGGTTTCTATGGCAAGGGACTTACTTCTCAGCGGTTCTCAGATGTTTGGAACTTTAGGGTCGCAATACTAAACAAATTAAGTTGGCGCTTTCAAGCATGTTCGTGAAATCCTCAAGCCCAAAAAGGGAAAGCGCCAAAGATCCCAAATACCTAGTAAAGTGCCAGGAAGTCTTATTTAAGATGTCTTCTGAGTCCAGATGTAATAGCATGTGGTATACGCCACATGCCGGATCCAGCTGTGCAAGCCCCTAGTTAGATTGTCCAGAATCCAGGCAGATAGCTGACGTTGTCACCCGGCCACCCATTTCCCCAAGACATAGCTATCGTCTGCATGTAGGTCATGTGGTAGAACATTTTTTTTGTTCAGCTCACGTGCCCCTGAAGCAAAATTTCGTCCACGCACATGGGAGGAGCTAAAATACTGTATGACAACGTAAGGCTGGCTGCCAAACTTAAAACTCATCGCTTGAAACCACAAACCCGTTCCACTGCCCTAAGCCACGAGATAGCGCCACTCTAGTCAGCACCCGCCTTACATACACACACACACACGCAAGTACGCACATATATACATGCAGACAGACAGACAAACACAGACAGTGCGCGCCAAGCCACTGTGCAGAAATTCCGGATGGCCCGGCGATGTTGCAGCACAAGCGGCCCCAGCAAATACCACTCTATCTACTCTTCGATTTGTTTGTGCAGTAAAAATTGCTGTATCCTTGTTTCCGTAAGAATATCGCGTGCTGTCGCGAGCCTAAACCCTAAACCACCGCACCCTAAAACCTAAACCCAAAGTGTGATACACTTAGCATCTTACAGACTCTGCACTGGGCTGGCGCATGATTCCCAAGCAACCACCGACATGCGCCTCACCTGAAGTAAGCTGTTGTAAAACCGTCTGATCACCGGGAACCTAGTCCCTAAAGCAACCCAAAACCCTAAACCCTACACTCTAAACCGCAAGACCTGGAGTAGAGGGGCCCTTTAAGCCAAAAGCGCAAAACATGGGCACGTCTCGAGCTTCGCATCTTCAGGGCTTCAGGGTCTCGGGTTTAATTTCGGGGTTTAAGAGTTTATGGTTTAGGGCTTGTAGGGTTTAGGGTTTTTCGGGGCTTAGGGTTTAGGGCTTTAAGGGTTTAGGGTTTTGGGTGTGGGGTTTCTTGTGCTTGTCATATCAAGGATTAGAGAAGACTATTTTATTACGGTTTTGGAGACGCTGACTGAGCTGAGGTCAATGAAGCTCGAAGAGGCAAGTTCAGGAGCCCTGCTGAACTGATACACGCGCATCGTAAAGAGTACCTATAGTCTCCATTGCAGTTCCTTTTTGGGGTTACCTTTTGGAATCCTTAATATATAATTGGTTAAACCAAAAAAGGAACTACAATGGAGACTATAGGTAATATCCAGGTTCAACAAACGATGTCCTGAGCGGAATATCTCGGGTGGACCCTGAGTCTTACTTCCGCGAGAGTGGATGGCTCTTGGTAGGGATATGCCGAGTGAGCTATAAGGGCTACTATAAAGAACTATCATAGGGATCATTCCACCATTCCCCACTCACTGAGTTGTCCTGTAAGCCCTTTGAAAACTCTTTCCTATTATCCTAAACCCTAAACCCCTAAACCCTAAACCCTACTGTGGCTCTCTACAAAATAGTAGGGGAATCTAAAAAGAAGATCCCAAAGGACAGCCCAGTCCTAAGCACCTCGAAGACTCTGCTTGGAAAGCTGCATTTTCAGGCTCCTGGTCCTATCTTGAAAGAGAACTTACCCAGACCCCCCCCAACACCCAAAAAATGGCTCTTTTTCCACATACTTTTGGGGGTAGAAAAATGTCCCAACACCTATAAAAAAGCGATTTTTCCACATACTTTTGGGGTCCAGGTATCGGACCATGCTGCGGGGCTCTTCTTCCACCTCCCAGAGAGCCCACTAGCCCTTAATTAAGCAGTATACCTTAAATTATAGGGGGCTTCATGTGATGATTTAAGCCGTATTCCTTAATTGAGGGGTATTGGGCTCTCTGGGCTCGCCCTCTCGATGTTTAGCAACCCAGCTCCATGAATCACGGATCCGCTGGCAGAGTGCCATGTTGCAACAAAGGGCCGAGATTGTGTGCGCGCATGGTCCGGCCCAAGTTGTCAAACACACCGCATTGCCCCCTCACGCAAAATTACCGATCAAAGCTGACCAACGACGTAAGAACTGCGTACCATAACCCTTAACCCTAAAACCTAAACCGCATATATGAGACTTCACCCGAATTGGATCGCCTTTTTAAACCGAGCCCGATCGTTCAGGTCGCCCGCGAAAACCGGAGCACTGCGCATTCTCGGTGAAGGGCCAGGACCTGAAAGCAGTGTCAGCCCAAGAACAAATAGAACCCATGAAGGAGCAAGGCAGTTTCGAGCCCAAGGTTTGGATGAATGGCGACCGGCCTCCATGCCATCGCCATGAATATGTGTGTTGTCAAATTCTCCAGATCCACGTCTGTTTCCAGTACGTTCTTCATCGCTTTAAGGGGCCTGGGAAAATCAGCGATGCTAGGTCTAAGAAGACGAAGACAAACTCGTGATGTAGGGGCCTCAATAATTAGACTAGGGTTTTGGGGGTTCTTTAGCATACTTCTGGTAGAATGTACCCTCAAACCCTATTCCAATTATTAAGGCCCCCACACTAATCCTGTTCTTTATTACGAGTGCTGCTGGGGTCCTCCACTGGCCCCTTCTACAAATGTATGAAGAAGAAGTGAAGGAAGTGAACCGCCGCTGATGAGGGCAGGAGCCACCAATGTGCTGAAACAGATGGACTAGCAAACCAGTGAAGCTAGGAATCTGAGAGGGTTGGCGTGGCTCCTAAATGCTCTCACAATGCTCGCAGAAGCTGACAGGCGCCACGAAAAACACTTGAGCACAAACTAACAAGTCAAGGTGGCCCTGTAGCTTGCACAAGGGCTCCAAAGCCCAACTTGACCTAATACTTTCAGACCAGCATTAAAACCAAATTGTCCTTCTTCGACCTCAGATCTTGCGACTGTGCCCTGAACTAGACCCCCCAAACCTCAAGGCGTAACAACCTTCTAGCGGGTCTCGCTTGGAGAACGTCTTGGCGTTCTTGTTTCTGCTCATCCTCTAGCGTATGATAAGCTTGGAGGTGAACTCTGAACAATCCGAGCCTAGGGAAAACTCAACGCAACAACCCAAAATTCTAAACCCTAGCCAACCAGCAAAGTTGAACCCCTTAAAGCCCGCAATGAGAGCCGAAGACCCCTGCTACCCTGAGGCTCCTACCACCCCGAAGTTCCGAACCCGCTAAGCCCCGGGGCCCCAGTGGCTTTTGCGCCCCTTGTTCAACCACAATAAACATACTGTGGTCTTAACATTTCAATCAGCTGGATTTTGCGAAACAAAATCCCTAAGAACTTAATGATTATACTACCACCACGACATATATACATACTTCCTAAGAGCACCAAAGTCGGAGCCTCGTAGCAAGCCATTTGAAGGAAAGGCCCTGCCGCCCAGGAAGCTTTGCCGGGCTGGCAGCCTCGGCGGTGGCGGTGTTCATGGGTAGCTAAGCGGGCTCCTTTAAAAGGGATCTACAGGGGCTCTATAAGGGTATAGGTTTTAAGGTTCTACTTGGAGGTTCATGGGTAGGTATAAGCAGCGCTAAAACTCCCCTTTCTGGGGTATGCCCAGCTATAGCTACCCCTGAACCTCCAAGTAGGGGTTTCGCGTAGGTTTAGGGGTTTCAGGGTGTGTAGGGGTTTAGGGTTTTGGGATTATGAAACTTTAGAACTTCAGATGTATTGTTTCAGGGTTCAGGGCTGGGATTTAGTAGGGATTTTTAGTTTGGGGTTTCGATTTAGATTGTTTAGGCTTCAGGGCATTTGATCACCAGGTATGGGCTTCAAGCACTGCTGCACAGGGCTTTTTGAGGTCTCGACCAAAACCTTCAAGACTCAAGCCAAGCTTTCCTCTCCAGATTCTAGAAGCTCGAATCCACCTCAACGATAATGACGAGCCTTGAGCCTGAAATCTCTGAACTGCATCCGGGACAACAGGTCTTTGACTCTCGACCCAAATTTAAGCTTCAACCTCACTGCCTAGTTCGTGAGTTCCAACTACTCCCAGCAACGGATGTGATTCTCGAGTGCCGGACCCATCACAACATGCGCCGAGTCTTTCAGCACCTCGGCTGTGATCAAGACAACAAGAGTGGCCCTGAACTTGCCGTTCCCGGGGCCTTCACTCTTTCAAATGAAAGTTTCCGAAAATTGAGGAATTAAGGTACTACATTGGGGTCCCCCTATTTTCGGAAACTCCCGGATCTCCATCACTGCTACGAAACCGCCAAACCAAGATTGAAGACAGCTTGGTGGTCTCGCGCAACTCACATAGCACATGGTTGCTGAAGGCCACAGCACGCATACTTTTGGGAACAGCTCCGACTCTTGAACCACAGCACTGTTCTAAATCCTATAAACCCCATGTGCCCGATATGAAACTCTGTATTCAACCTTTTCATAAACGCTATAAGCCCTATGAACCCTATATAGCCCTTTCACACTGTCTACAAGAGCCTCGTGCCCAGCAAGTTCGCCTTGAGGAGCTTTCAAGTCAACTCGCGACACACACATACCACCAAATGCGGACAGGGTTTAGGTTTAGGGGTTTAGGGTTTAGGGCTTAGAGTCTAGAGTTTAGGGTTTGGGGGTTTGGGGCTTCGGGTTAAATGATCGGATTTACCATACGTCCTGAAGAACCCAAAACCGTATAAACCGCACACCCCAAACCTAACACCCTTAACCCTAAGACCCTAAACCTGAAACCCTGAATCCTAAAACCCTAAACCTGAAACCCTTAATCCTAAAACCCTAAACCTGAATCCCTTAATCCTAAAAAACCCCTCCGAGGCCACCACGCCATCTTTGGAGAGAGCTACAGCCAGCTCCTCATAGGCGCGCAGCCCATCCTGGCTAGCGCTGCGAAAGGCCAGGGTTTACCTTAGCCTACCCAAACCTACCTTTTTGGTGGGGTCCCTATAAATTCCATATATAGCGTTTAGAGTAAGAACCTACAAAAAAGTAGGGTTTGGTAGATTAAGGTAGAGTTTTAGGAGTTTAAGGGCTTAGGGTTTTCAGGGCTTGTTGTTATAAGGGCTCTATAGTGGTGTCTACAGAGTTTTTTTTACGGGTTTGGAGTATGGGGTGAGGGTTTAGGGTTGAGGGTATGGGGTTTCCTTTTAGCGTGTATAGGGTTTCGGGACCTCTTGGGCGCTGAGAAAGTTTTGAAAACAGTGTGGCTTGTAGCTCTAAGACAGCTAATCGCAATGATGGTGTTCCTGGTTTATAGCAGGTTCGGACTTCCTCACAGTTACCGCGCGACGCTCATGCTCGATCCTCACTTAACTTGCTACGCTTCCTTGGCGTCCCGGATTAAAGGAATGGAGGGTTGCCGGGTCGAGATGCTGGAGCCTGCGGAACGATGAGCTCGAAAATGAGTTTGGGGTATCGGGTAATGAGACCCTGTGGTTTCAGAGAATCGGGAATTTGGGGCGTAGTTGGGCACCACTGGATAAAGGCGTAAGGTTTGGGGTTTACGGGTGTAGGGATCTGCCTCACCAGCCGCGAAAGCTGCGGTGGATTGACTGGAGATTTCCCGTGCCTGGCCGCAAGGCTGTTGTGCGTCACAGGTTTAATGGATTCTAACAATTCTTTTGGTAGTTTTATAGGCTGTTTACACGAATCTCTGTGGATCATTGGTGCATGGTGTACGTAACCAGGTCTGGATAGAGGCAGGTCCTAGAGGCAAGTTTGCTTTCCCTGGAGAGGACTTAAAGAGGAATACTTAAAGGATCATGGGACTTAGTAACCAGGGTTATAATTAGCCTAACTATACTTACAACCCCAATAAGGGTACTTATAACCTTACTTGTTAAGTCCCATGATCCTCCAAGTAGTCGAGGTCAGCGCTCGTTGTTGCACTTCTCAAACCCGGATTCCTAAACCCTAAAAGCCCACGCACTTCTTGCTCATAGAGTTCGAGTTGCATTAGCTCTGAAGCTCGCCCCTGCTTGTGTCCCTGTGGTAGGGTTGCGGGTGTCGGGGAGGTTGAAGCTTCTGTTCTTGTGGCCACTTTCTTACCTTTGGTTAGTGGGGAATGGAAGAATGGTAGTACTGTAGTACTAGTAGTTATAATTGTACCCCATTCCTCCATTCCCTACTAACCAAAGGTAAGCTTTGGCTTATACTTGGAGTTTCAACCCGAGCCTCCGGACTGTAGCCTTCGAAACCATCAGGATAGCAAAGCCGAGGGTGGGGAGGTGTTCGGTTACGTAAGCTGTCAAAGTGTGGGTGGCGAAATTTGTGCAATGTACCTCTGCGACGAAACTGGCATTCGACCATATTTTGCTGATGGCCTTTTGGCCCCTCTAGCTTTCAGCAGATGGGAGTTTCCGAAAAAAGGCGACCCATAAGATAGCACCCTAAATAATTGGATCCCTATTATAAGGACCCCAAAGTAAGGTACCCCGGATTTTCCGAAACTGCCCAAACCCCAAACCCTTTATAGAGCCCTTATAGATACCTTTAAGGAACCCATAAAGGATCCCTTCAAGGTACCCCGAAATGGAAACTGCCAGACAGACACACCTGCCCCGAGTCCGAAGCTCCTCAGATCAAGCGCGGCGGAAGCCGCGAAGCCCACGTGCTTCATGAGCTTCGCCGGGAGATACCTGAGGACGTCTGCAGTGGGAGATGGGTTTAGGGAGGTGAGTTTAGGGTTTAGGACCGTTTAGGGTTTGGGGTTTAGGGTTTAGGGAGCCAGGATTGCAGTCAGTGAAGTTTTTGTGCGGTTTGCGGTCCGAGTCCATGCAGACTCAGAGGCCTCTGAGCCCGGGAGCTTTTCGGTGGGCCTCGCATCTGCAGACTTTCCAAATTTGGCTGCAAAAGGTTGCGGATTTCGGATCTGCTGTTTGCAGGGTTGGCAAAGAGCCCAAAAGTCTGCGAGCTTGGCACATTGTCTCACCCTCCAGAACCGGTGCAATCCCCAGTATACCGACGAAAACTCTGAACACAAATCCCTCAACGGCTTGGCCCCGCGCGGTGGGTTGGAGACGGCTATGTCAAAAGGGGCGATGCCTGAAGGTTCGAAGGCTACTTGGGGGTCCTTATGGTAAGGGTCCAGCTAGTTTGGGTCCCTCTGTGTTAGGGTCCCCGATATTCTGAAACTCCGCTTTGATACACATCAAACGAACATCCGAGTTCGAAAGGCCCTCAACAGACAACTCTGTCATTTCACGTCCACCCTAGACCCTAAACCCTAAACACTGAACCCTAAACCCTAACCCTAACCCTAAACCCTAAACCGCAGCTCTGGCATAGGAAGCAAGCTGCAACTCAAATCACCGGGACCCGGAACCCCTCAGGGTCGACAGAATCCAAGGCTAGGGGGTTTGTCAAAGGGGAAACGGAGGGACCCTTAATGTGGACCCCTACCCTATAATGGGGCTATATAATGGGTGTATAATAGCTATATTAAGGGTATATACCTAGGGGTCCTTATCAAGGGTCCCTCCTTTTTTTTACCCTTGGGGTTTGGGGTTTGGGGGTTTACGGGTCTAGGATTTCGGGAAGTTCAGTGCGGTGGTCTTTGGCTCTAGAGTTCATGAAGTGCGTTGCCTCGTGCACCTTGAGGGTCTTAGGGCCTGGCAAGTTTAGGGTTCAGAGCCTGTAGGGTTTTAAGGAGGTTTTAGGGTTTTAGGGTTTAGGGTTTAGGGTTTTAAGGAGGTTTTAGGGTTTTAGGGTTTAGGGTTTAGGGTTTTAAGGAGGTTTTAGGGTTTTAGGGTTTAGGGTTTAGGGTTTTAAGGAGGTTTTAGGGTTTTAGGGTTTAGGGTTTTAAGGAGGTTTTAGGGTGCTCCATGTCAGGTTCATGCACACGGTGCCTTCATCTGGCATCAGAGCTATGTCGACAAACTTGCGATGCTGAACCTGGGCGCAGGACACCAGGCTCAAGTCACCACAGGAATCTCTTCGTGCGGATCCAACGCCCCACGGCGCTGAAATCCTGCATGAAGCCCTCAAAACCACAACCCTGAACCCCTGAAGCTGAGCCCACAACCCTGCACGCCTGCTGCTCGAAGAAACTTTTTCCAACCTACCTACAGTTCTCTGACCTGCAACGAGCTGGAACTCGGCTGCAACGGCAAGAACACATTGGCCAAGCTTGGAACCGCCATGCCACACAAACTTGGAATTGGGGGTTTCGGCTCTAGAGACGAGGAGGGTTATTCGATTTACCACATGGTCTGTTGTAGGGTCTTTAAGGCCGCGGTATGATTCTGGATGAAAGGTTAGAGCAGCTTCCAAAAGTCTGCACAGCAACTCTCCACGCGAAGTTCTGGATCCTGTACCGCGAATCTTGAATCCTGAACCCTAAGCCCTAAATCGGCAACCTGAATCGATGGCCAGAGACACCACAGGATGATCACCATCATCATCAACAATACCATCATGATCATAAACAGCAACAACAACAAAACAACAACACAATCTCTCGGCAACTTCAATGTCATCGCCATCCCGTGAAGGTGCTCCTTCCTGATAAGAAAACTGGAACGATCCTGAAGTTCGCTCAGAGGCACATCGCAGCGTGCAGAGAGGGAGAGCGCCTTCGCGTTATGGGCCGCTGCTTTCACGGCCTGCCGGCGGGCTTTGAAAGTGTAGCTTCTACTCTTGCAGAGGGTGACCAGAAGGAAGCGGCTCACAATCTCGCAGGGTTGAGGAGAGCAGCCCCATAATAGCCCTTATAGTAGACCTTATAAGCCCCTTCAAAAGGGAACCTTTTAAAGCAACCATATTCTAGCCTTCTCATCCGCATCGATGCCGACTCCAGTCGCAGCACCGAATCGACTGCGACAGGGACTCTCTCATGCTTTGTGGGGCCCAGAGAGCCCAATACCCCTTAATTAAGCAATATACCTTAAATTATAAGGGGCTTCATATTATGATTTATAAGCTATTTCTTTCATCAGCTCAGTGCAACTATACGCTAAACCCTTGACAGGAACAGCATTTGGCTCAGCCTTCATTTTTTGACGGTTCAATCTTCGACCAATGCCTCGTGCTTGATCGCAAAACGCAGTCTGACGACACCTGATAAGTCAGGCACGCCCTGAAGAAGCGCGCGCTCTGCCCGAGATTACTCGAACTCTCCCACGGTCTCCTTTGGGAGGGTGGGGTGCGCCGCACTGGGAGCATTAAAGGACCGTGGTGGTCAGTAGCTCGTTGCCATGCGAAAGAAACGCCTAGTTTGAAACACTGTACATTCTTTCATCAGCTCAGTGCAACTATACGCTAAACCCTTGACAGGAACAGCATTTGGCTCAGCCTTCATTTTTTGACGGTTCAATCTTCGACCAATGCCTCGTGCTTGATCGCAAAACGCAGTCTGACGACACCTGATAAGTCAGGCACGCCCTGAAGAAGCGCGCGCTCTGCCCGAGATTACTCGAACTCTCCCAACTTTCCATCATACTGCGAAGTCCAACTCAACTCGTATCACTGACCAAACATGTTGCTCGAAAAGGTCGAAGCTATGCCGAGTGATACGCGAGTAAGCCGGCATCGCATCAGTCTGGAGGTAGAAAGCGTCATAAAGGTGCCACGCATGGCGAGATAAGGCAGACCACTTAACCTGGCGGGAACATTGGGCAGGTTCGAATGAGCCCTTGGCCCTGAGGACCGCCACCTCCCCCTGGCGAATGTATTCCCTGGCCGAACGTTCCCGAAGCCATCGGCCATAAAGGAGAATGTCGGCCAACGGCATGCCTTGTCTAGCCAATTCCGTAGCACCAGAGCGCCGGAAACTGTGGGTTGTCAAAGTGAGATTTGGCGATCCCAACAAAACCGAAAGCTTTTTGACCCAGCGAAGAACCGAAGCATAGGAAATTGAAAAAACTCGGTCAAGGGCACCTCCTCGCGGAAAGTGTGCAAAGTAAGTTGCCACCCAGGATACGACACCAGGATTACGCAACACGACTTTTTGCTCCATACCGCGTTTAGTGCGGCCTAAACACAACACAACGGCATCATTGAGTACGAAGATGTCCCCATAGGCGAGCTGAAGCGCTTCACGAGCCCGAAGAAGACCCGCGTAGCAAAGTAACATGATCAGACTGAGCTGGGGCCGATTGAGCATCAGAGCCACCACCACCATGGACGTAATGAGCTCAGGTGGAGCCGCGGGCGCCTGTTGCGGAGGTTGCGCAACTCGCCACGCGTCGTACACCCTCCAAGCGGTCTTGAAGGAAGACCGGGGGTTCACCTTTTGTACCGCGGAGAGCGCCCACCCATACTCATTAAGTCCACGGCCGGCTTCATACCCATCAAGGACCCACTCAGCCAGAAAGCTATCCTGTTCCTGCTCATTCATGGCCTTCCATTGTAGCCCAGCCCCATGCAAATCATTGCTGAGGTGTTCCAGGGCTCGCAAATACCTTTCCTGCGTGGCTGGCCGCAATGTTTTCAGCAAGAAAGCCTGGACGCGGTTCAACCCATTTCCATCGAACATCTCGCTCACCTCCCCAAGGATCTCTACGCTGTAGGTTGCGATCTTTTGCCAAAGGTTTGTACGGCCTACTGTACCCTCGACTTTTTACGCTCACCACGCGATCCAAGAAGTTCTCCGCCAAAACTTGGCAGAAAGCCGAAGGATAGCTGGCCGATGCAGTGGTATGAAAATTGTCTGCAGATGCGCGGTCAATTATGGGGGGATGTTTGTGAGGATGGTTACACTTGGCATAGATGGCGGCGGATTGCTCGGGCAGCAATAGCCCGGTGGGTTTCTTGCTAGACGCCCCATATCTGCATTGATGTACCTCACGATACCTCATGCCAAACTGCTGACAAAACTGTTGCACCTCTGCTGAGCCAAAGAAGGAAGGAAACGGCTGTCCAGGATCCGCCGGATGTTCGAGGCCAATCCACCCTCCTTCACAACGGACTTCTCCCAGCAGCCCAAGACAGATCAGAAACAGCGAGGAACCAACTGCAACAGCGTGCTTTTCTCTAGAGGTGCAATACTCTAGTGGGTCCCATACTGCAGTCCGTGACCTAAGCGGCCTTGGACCATGATGCTCCTTAGCTAGTCGCGAATGCCTCGCCCACGACACGGTACTGCAGGGAGGTGAGGCAAATGCCCCCACCACTCTTTTCGTCTGTATGAGGTCCAACAGGTGTAGTGCATCACGCTTGAGAAGAAGATCACTGGAAAAAGTGTGTGATGTTGCAGCCAAGGGATCAACCCGGACTCCTATGATGTTGCATTCGTAGAGGGCACCCAGCTGTTCAACCCAACTGCACAAATCATTGTCGCGCCTAGGCCCGCTGCATAGGTGCAGAAAGAAAGTAACATCCTGCGGCCACGGATTGATCCCCCTGAGATCGATTTCGCAACTGGGCTGCGGCTCAGCATCTGCTTCCACCTCGACACGGGGCTGCAAGCTTGAAGACTCCCAACGTCGAGAAGGAGCATCTGCCGGGTTTTCTTTGGACGGTAGCCAAGGATAAAACACATCATGACCTCCAGCCAGATTGATAGCACATAGCCTGCGGCAACGGCTGTTAAGCTGTCTGGAACTGGACCTTCCCTTTGTAAAGCAACCTGCACAAGCTGCCGAATCAACTGGATGAACAAACCGGCAACCATCATCAGTGGGCCTGCGGAGGCGGTCCTCGGCGGCCCACGCCACAGCATCAGCCTCACCGATGGTGATGTGTGACGGAGACCATGGTGCACCAGCATAATGCCACTTGATTCGCTCAATGGGGATCCGTACCCTCCTAAGCGGACATTTATGCTCTACCGTCAACCCGATGCTCCAAGGCAGCTTCAGATTAGTATACGTCCGCCCGTGATCGGAATACCTGGCCAGCGATTGCACCACATGCACAGGGACCAACCCCCAAGCGCGGCCAATTCCAGTCATTGAGGAGTCTGTGCATTCCACCCGTGTGCTCCAATCAGCTGAAAGATTAAAGCTACTGAAAGGCAAGAGCATAGCAGAGATGGCCAACTCGGTCCACACCTCACTTGGAAGTTTCACTAGGTTGCGCCTGCACCCGCGAATGGAAGCCAACCAAGCGTACGAGCGTTCGAAAATGGACCTCATGCAGGGACGGGCTGAGTGCACAAAGCCATATTTTCCAATCAAGCGATCGATCACACCCACCATGACTGCTTTTGATTGCAATACGTGGATCGTGGCCTGAAATAAGTGACGACGTTTTTCCAAGCCAACTCCTACCCAATGCCCATGAGGATCAACGTAATAACCCTGTATTTCTTCCCCCAGTGCATTGTCTACCCTCTTCTTCGCATTGGGCTCCACGCCAAGCTTCACCCATGATGATTCTGCCGCGTCCATCCACGCAGCACCCACATTGGCCTCCAGCTGGTTTGGCGCGTGTTCTAAAGACCAAATATCATCAACGATGGAACCCCACAACGGCAGTGACTCTGGCACTACTGTATCAGGGTGCAGCCGCTGCTCCTTCGGTAGGCCCGCTTGCAGCGTACATGTATCCGTCAATCCCTGTGCCCACCCCGCCGATGGTCCAAAGCCCATAGGAGCTGCACACGACGCCGGAAACCGCTGCACAGTCGAGCCTGATTCACCCCGCAGTTGTACCGGAGGGCCGCATAGCCACCGTCGCCACCGCCTCCCAATGCGCAAGCGATGAAAATAATGACGAGCATCACGCTTCGAAACCATCACCACTCCCGAGCTGGGCACTGTAACCGCTCGCAGCTTGGGTATGTACGCAAAGCGAGGACGAGGCAACTTCTCGGGATCCAGTAGCTGATTTACGCTAGGGTCGGTAATAACCCTATCTTCATGCTCATCTTTCCGCACAGCAAACGCTCCAGCAAGACACAACACACCCCTGTGTTTCGCCACCTGCGATGGCTTTTTCCAGGAATGCAAACCGGCCTTTATGTTACGCTTAACCAACTCCGGGTAAGAGGCAGCCACCCACGTGTAACCACGTTTTACACGCGTGGGCCTCCGCTTGGATGGCAGCAGCAGGGCACTGGGATGTATGACCTGCTCCGCCATCTCTGGGAAAGTGTTCTGCAAGTGCTGATCTAAAGCGACGTCGGCCGCTTTAGTGGGAACACCTCCTCTCGCACCCAAAGCTAACACTACCCCGCTGCCAGAATAGTGCTCGGACTGCTTCATGTAATTATCAAGTCCCTCACTTGACAGAAGAGGCTCATCAGTCAACACCAATGCCTCCAAGGCACACGCTGTCCGAGCATGTACCCGTCGGTGGGCCGCAGAAAGAACTGGAACTGTATCCTTGCCCTCCTGCCCCCCATGCAGCATGTTGAGAATGGCCAAAACCAGATTAGCCCCCTCCACCAGACCTGTACAAGGCTCGGGGGATGCTGCGCCGCTATGGGCAACCAAATGACCATCACGGCTGAAAGGTGGTATCGGAAAAACATGCGCGGGTGAATGCCTCACGCCTTCCCCGCATGACTTTTTGAATTGCCTTGAAACACATCGCAGGTGAAGAATCTCAGCCCCCACAGGATTAGACCGGCCAGCTCCACTCCAGGCTTTAGTCAATCCGACCACGGCCCTCGAATAGAACCTCCCGAAACCCATATGTGAACCATCATCCTCTCTGCGCAGCCGGCGCATTGCCCGGCGAAATGACTTGCTCAAGCATTCGTCAGAGCCAGCATCGAAGAGCTGGCCAAGGACCTCTGCGTGCTCACCAGCTCGATGGCCTCCGCTTTCTCCCAAGATCCTCCCTTCATCTTTGCAGACTGGATCGCCAGGATACGCTGGCACAGGATGTCCATTGCCCTCTCGATCTCCCGGCGATTCACGGAATCCAGG